TCGTGGGGGGCTTGGGGCTGGGTGTGCTGAGCGTCCTGCGGAGGGGTCTGGGGGCCATGGAGGGTTTGGGGTTGGGTGCCCTGCGGCTCTTGGTGAGGGTCTGGGGCTTGGGGGTCTGGGGACCCGGGGATGGGTGTCCTGGGGGCTTCCAGGAACTGGGAGCTTGGCCTTGGAGCTGTGCCTGGGGTCCACGTGGGAGTGGGGAATTTGGGGGGGTCTGGGTTTTGGGAGCTTAGAGGAAGGTGTGGGACCTGGGTGATCCTGAGGGGCTCAGGGATTTGGGAGCTTCAGGGCTTGCCTCTGGGTCACAAGGGGGCTGGGGGGCTGTGGAGTCTGGGGTTTGGGGGGCTGGGGGCTCAGGGGGCTGTGCTGGCCTGGGCTCCCGAGCCCGTTTTCCTGCCTGAGCCCAGCGGTTTCCATGAGAGCCGTTTGTTTCCCCAGGCTGTGGAGCCCGAGGCACTGCCAAGGCTGTGGTGGAGCCTGAGAGGAGAGGCCAGGGCTGCCAGGGGAGAGGTTTAGGGACAGTGTGGGCAATAAATGTAAAGAGATAAAGGAGTCTGGTCTTTTTCTGGATCAGCTCTCTGGAAGAGCTGGGCCCCCTCCCAGCTCAGGGCAGCACATTCCCACCTTTTCCCCTCTGCATCCTCCCAGCCCGGGATGGGGAGCAGGGCTTTTCCCTCCCTTCAGTCCTCAGCTGGAATCCTGGCCCATCAATGTGACAGCAGCCATAGGGCTGGGTGAAAGCAGTGAGGAGCTCTCCTGGAGCCTCTCCAGGGCTGTGCTATGGGTTATTTGCCATGTGGCAATTTGGAGTTTTGTCCTGCTGGGGAGCAGTTCCAGCTCTGAGTGCCAGTGTTTGCTGAAGCTCCTGTTCCAGGCTGGCTGCTCCATGCCTTCCCCTCTCTCTGTGCTCTGCTGTGCTTCCAGGCCTCCTTCCTGCTGCTCCAGCATGAAGAGCACCCGGAGCTGCTGCTCTGTCCAGAGCTCTGACGTGGCAGAGCTGATCCTGACGGGGCTCCCGGCGCCGGTGTCGCGGCGCCCTGGCAGCGCCTCCGCTGCCAAGCTGGTGGCACGCTCTGTGTCCGTGGCTGCTGATGGCAAAGCCAAGAGGAACGCCACGGTGAGCCCCTGTCCTGCCCTTCCTGATGGCTCCTGGCATGGCCACGTCCCTCTTGCTCTGGTTCCCCCAGCCCCAGCCTGGCTTTGTTCTGGTCCTGCCCAGCAATAGCTGTTTGTGGCTCCCTGCTGGGTGCAGAAGAGCAAGTTTCAGGATTCCCTCTTTTCCCTTCCTCGCCCTTCACCTCCCTGTGCCAATTTCCATCTGCAAACTTGCGATTTCCTGGTGTCTCCTGCTGGGGTGCCAGGCCCAGCCTGCCCCTCATGGAGCACCTCCTGTTCCTGCCACATTGGGTGCTCCTGAGTGGGGGTTCCACAGAGGCAGTGAACCCCAGGTGCTTGCTGGGCTCTGTCAGGACCCAGCAGGATCCAGCCTGGGCTCCTGCTGAGTAATCCCTTGGCAGCATTCCCACACCCGTGTTCCCAGAAGCTTGTGCTGAGGAACGTGTTCCTGCTGGCTCAGCAGTGCCCGAACAAGGTGGCATTGCCCACTGCCTCAAGGGGAGCCTGGGGGACTGGGAACTCCGTGTCCCCTTGGCTGCGAGGGTGGGGAGCCTGCCTGAGCTGCTCCTGAACGTGGCTGCTGGGTTTGTCCCTGCTGCATTTGTCCTGCTGGATTTATCCCTGCTGGGTTTGTCCCTGCTGGGTTTGTCCCTGCTGCATTTGTCCTGCTGGATTTATCCCTGCTGAGTTTGTCCTGCTCTCCACAGGAGGATGCGGGATCCCGGGCCATGAACAACCTGCGCAGGTCCAACAGCACCACCCAGGTGAACCAGCGGGTGAACAGCTCCCACAGGTACAGCCCCGTGTGTCCCTCTGTGCTCTGGGGGCACTGGGGACACCCCACCCCTGTGTCCAACCTCCCTGGTTTTGGTCCTGGGAGGGAACAGGAGCCTTTCCAAAATACCCTGAGCTCTGTCGTGCACTTCAGGAGTTAAAGTCTGGCCCTGGAAAACCAAAGTCTGGTGCTTTGGTTATTTTTTTGAAGAGGAGGTCCCTTGTTTAGGGTTCCATAGGATCACAGGCCTGACCTTAAAGTCCCATGCAGGATCACCTTCCACAAGACCAGGTTGCTCCAAGTCCCATCCAGTCTGGCCTGGGACACTTCTCTGTCAGAGTAGTGCTCAGAATCTGTGGGCAACCTGTGCCAAGGCCTCTCCACTATCACAGGGAAGAATTTCTGTTTGGGGAAATGGAGTGTATTTCTGTGGCTGTGACAAAAACCATTCCATTTGGTTCCTCATGGATCTTCCAGGCCATAACTGGGCTGTGTGAGGAGACAAAAGTTCTCTGTTCCCAGTGCCCTCTGAGTTGGGATTTTCCATTCTCCTGTTGGTCTATGCCCATCTCCATCACCACACACCACCCTGGAACCCAAAGCTCTGTGTAAAAATGAATCATTGGTGGATTTTGTGGCCATGTAATGATTCTCCAGTCCCTTTCTCCCATGTCACACTGGAGTTTCCAAGTGCCCTACATAGCCAGAGTGTGTCCTGTGGCTGTGAGTTATCCCACAGTTATCTCTGTTCTCTCCTCTCTGCCTTCCCTGGGCGTGGATGAAGCTCTGAGCAGACAGGAGACTTCCTGGCCTTCTTTGAGGGTGACCCAATAGGAAGGAAGAAACTGGCAGCTCTGAGCAAAACCTCCCCAGAAAAGAAAACCACCTGGAATATCTTGGTGAGGACGGCAGGCTCTGGGAGCGGGTGGGCCAGGCTGGCTCTGTGCTCCTGGTGGTGTTTGAGGAGGTGGGTTTGGTGTCCTTATCCCTGCTGACCCCATGGCAGGATGACCAGCCCCGAGTGTTCCCAGGCCCCTCTGGCTCCCACGGCCTCGAGCCACCCACGGGCATGAGGAGGAAGGAAGCCACAGTGCTCCTGGCTGCCAACTTCACTGCCAACAACAGGTAGGAGAGAGGGCCCTGAGGGGGAGAGTGGGTGCCACTGCATGGAGAAAACACCTGGAGGGGGAAAGCTGCTGTTCCTGACACTCCTGGTCTTCCCACACAAG